AGTGAGGAAACTCCTAAGCTCAACCGAGGAAACCAAACATATATTCCAACACTGGCCTCATAGGTGCAAACGGCTAAGTTGGAGGCAGCGATGACGGAGCTGGGCGAAGCCGAAGCCGAGCTTGCTGCAGCGCAGGCAGTGTTGGATGGCCTCAATGCCCAATTCCAGGAAGCCATGGATGGGAAGAATGCTCTCGAGGAGAAGGCTAATGCTACGAAGAACAAAATGGACCAGGTGGGGCTGTTGCCGTGACTTTGCCATAGCGTGTTGCATAGTCTCGTGGTAGGCTAATAAACTGATCAACGGACTCGGCGGGGAGAAGAAGCGTTGGACTGAGGATGCCAACAACTTCGCAGATCGGCGTAAACGGCTGGTTGGAGATGTGGCCTTGTCCTGTGCCTTTGTGACCTTCTGTGGACCATTCAACTCGGAGTATCGAGACAAGCTCAACACAGAGTACTTCCTAGCTGATACACATCAGAGGAAGGTGAGTATCATCGTGGGGGACGACGGACGCGCTCTTCGTTCCTGCTGCGACTGGCGATGACGTAGGGTCTACTAGAAGCAGTCGGGTTTCTCGTCTGGATTCATGGCGTATCAGTCTTATGTAGCAGTACATATCGAGCGTATAGGTGCCGGCATCTGAGAAGATGGACCTTGTGGGGTTCCTCGTTGACCAAGGAACAGTCGGAGAATGGGCTTTGGAAGGTCTGCCCAGCGATGACCTTTCCGTCCAGAACGGCATCATGGTCACTCGATCTAGCCGCTATCCTCTCATGGTTGATCCACAAGGACAAGCCCTAAGGTAGTGAGATGGAGATGCTCACGAGGATGTTCTGGCTTCCGTCACAGGATCTACATTTGATGTCTTTCAGGTGGATCAAGAGTAGGGAAAGTGATCGAGTCGCCAAGGCACCAGGACAGTGTGTATCGACTCTGTCGAATCCGAGACTAAAGGACCAACTGGAGTTCACAATGGGTGAAGGACTGTGTCTGATCCTCGAGAATGTTGAAGAGGAAATCGATCCCATTCTCGATCCTGTCCTGGAGAAGGCTATTGTGAAAAAGGGCAAGAATCTGTGAGCTTGGAGTTGCTATTGTGATCGATCTTGACTCGGCTGCTGCAACAGATACATAAACGTCTCGGATCAGAACATGGACTACAACCCAGCCTTTGTCCTCTATATGACTTCACGTCTACCAAACCCGCACTTCTCGCCAGAGCTGTCTGCCAAGTGTACGGTCATTGACTTCACGGTCACACTGAAAGGCTTGGAACAGCAGCTCCTTGGAAGGGTACTTGGCATGGAACAGAAG